GGGCGGGGCTACAGAGTGATTGACAGGTCTCTACCAGAGACGTATACAGAGTCTCTACGTCACTCCTCCTCAGTCCAAATATGGTCACTTCCTGTTCACTGGTTGCAAAAAACAACAACATGGCGACAGCCTTAATTCAAGATGGTGACGGCAAACTGCCGAACTCGAGGCTTCATAACATCAGTCCCCAAACCAATGGGTGACGTCACGATGACTACATCCACTTCCTATAGACAGTCTATGGTTACAACCAGACTTCTTTTTGCAACCAGAGGAGTCGCCCCCTGATGGCCATTGGAGAGAATGCAGGTTAAAGGCACTTGAGCCTTTAACCTGCATAAAAACTTCATTTTTCAGACCCAAAGTTGCCGCCTGGTTGAGTGGAAGCAGTTGTTCCTGTAGAGAACTGTAGCGCCTCCCAGAGGGTAGGAGGGCAAGCAGTCTGTGGCCGGCGTGCAAAGTGTCCTCGATAATACTGCGGACCTTCACAGACGGTGCTTTCACTGGACGGCCTCCATAGCAAGAAGGGGAGAATCGTTGATGCGTTTGGCAGTTTTCGCCTCCCTCTGCAGAGCTTTCCAATCCGAGTCTCTTATATATGGGCGACTGAAGTTTATAGTTTATCCACCTTTTATCAGACAAACAGGATTGATAGATCGGTCCTTCTCTAATTCACATCTAGAATGTGGCAGCTAATTAGCTGGTTGCTAACAGCTTTAAAAAATAGGAAAAAGAAGGAGAAGCATTTTTTTTCCTTATTATTAATATTATTGGATAAATGTAAGCAATGCAACTGTATGAAAACGGTTGAAAATGAAACAGGTTTAATATCCAGAATATAACTTCTTTATAGAGTCGTGATTTTTTAAATAATAATAATAAGTATTACTATTATTTTTGTTTTATCGTAGTTATTATTATTATTTATAATAATTTTATAATAATAATATATAATTATTATTATTTATAATAATGACACTATTATTGTCTTTGATTAATAAACTGTCATAAAGCCATGCTGTTACATGGCCCGGTACAGTAGGTGGCGGTATACACCTTTAACGTTGGTTCGTAGTCCGCCATTAAATTAAAGAAGAAGAAGTTTTTTGTTTGTTTTTTCTATTCGGTCATGTGACGTCACGAGAAGACCATGTGATACGCTGGAGGAAGTAGAATGAACCAGAAATAAACCATCAACAACAACAGCAGCACCAGGCTAACGGTTGCTAACATTTTAAATACAAATATCTGTACCCGCGAGACACGGCGCTTCTTTCCGGTCTCGCGCTGCCAGCCGCTGATTTCCCCCCTTCCCGAACGAAGAGACCAAAATGACGGCGGCGGTGTTTTTCGGCTGCACCTTCATCGCCTTCGGGCCGGCCATCGCTTTGTTCTGGTTTACCATCGCACGGGAGCCGCTGAGAGTAATTTTCCTCATAGCCGGGTGAGCATTTTAATCTTAACTCATCAGAAGTAAACGTATCGTCATCATAGTCATCGTGATATTAGATAGAAACACACTCAGAGCTAACTATAACTTGCTAGCTAACGAGAACGCTACATTAGCTAGCTGCTACTATTAGCTTCCATTTCGGACATCTTTTGTCAGGTTGCTCCTCACTAGTCGCACATTAAGTCAACACTAATCCGTTTGTAATCTCTCACACACATATATAAAAATAAAAAACACCAGATACGGTAACTTAAATATCTAAGTTTTAGAGTCTAAACGTGATCGGATCCTAGCTTCTCAACCTAAGACTAGCTAGCCAACTAACAGTTAGCTAGCTAGTGAGCAAGCTAGTGAGCTGAACACTATATGATATGATGTGATTATTTAATGACATGTAATAGAAATGATGTACAGAATATGATTAGTGTGACATGTAAATATTATGTGGTAGATTAATATTACCTGTCAGGGAGGATGTTGTATGGGATAAATGTGATATGGTATAAGGTAACAGGTAGCAAAATATATATATATATTAATTAGACTCTAAGGCTGCATATATGTAGATGCATTCACAGCAATTTGTGACTGAAAATTAAATAACATAGTTAATGGACTGAAATCAAAATACAGAATACATTCAGGAATCTTTTCAGGTGCCATCATTTAATTCATGCAACACCTTTAATTCTTCTTCTTCATATAACTCATCGTGAATGTGTTTATTTCCGCCCTCAGAGCGTTCTTCTGGCTCGTGTCTCTGCTGCTGGCCTCTCTGGTTTGGTTCATCTCCGTTCAGATCAGCAACAAGGACAGCGCCGCTCAGCAGAAAGGCCTCCTCATCTTCGGCGTGGTTCTGTCCGTCCTGCTGCAGGAAACTTTCCGCTTCGCTTACTACAAGCTGCTCAAGTAAGTTCTCACAGACTCACTTATTCTAAAGTCCGTGAGGGTTTCGTTCTGTCCTCCTGTCAAATCATCCAGTGTTTGAGGTTCTCTCTCACAGACATTTTGAGCCCTTTTTAAACACTTTCTGGAAGTCTGCATTTCTGCAGACTCTGCCTAAGGGAATTACCCACAATTCATAGCAATGTGACATTAAACACGGGGTTACCAGCTCAAGGCTGAGACGTAAGAAAAGTGAGATTAACAAAGAGGCATATTTAGTTTCCACACCTCCAGGCTCTGTATTCAAAGTCATAAAGCTATGAATTGTGGGTAATACCCAGGAAAGGGTCTGCAGAAATATGTACTTTTTTATATAAAGGGCTCAAAGTGTGCGAGAGACAGTGAGACAGCCCGTCATAGTTCTCAGATATCCATCACTTCCTTTATTAGTTGTATATTTTGGCACAAATGAACTTGGAGAAATGTGGCCCAAAAACAGAAATCCACTGCTTTCTTTTTTTAATAACTAAAAAGTTTGACTTCACTGAAGGAAGCGAGCTGATGGCAGAAGCTACTAGACTAACAAGTCCATACTACAAAGTAATCATACACAGTATATTCTATAGAATACATGTTACTGCTTTTGCAGACAGTATACAACAAATCAACAAACTTATAATAACAATACATTTTATTTGTTTAGCTCTTTAAAAGGTACTCAAAGACACTTTATGTGCTAAAAAACAGAAACAATAGAAGCAATTACAAAAGACACATAATAGATGATATAAGGAACAGCACAAAAACATACACTACTCATTTTACAGGTTAAAGACGCATCCAGATGCAATTCACGCACAATGTAGTCGATCAAACTGCGACTTCACGGACTCCTCGAGGAGAAAGCAACCCGTCTCTAAAGATGAAAACATCTTTTAGTTTAGTTTTCTAACGTCTCTCTGCTGCTGTCGGGACAGTAGTGTAGTGGCTCGTGATGTGAAACAGCAGCCACTAGAGGCCGCTAGAGTTTAATCCTGTCGCTCTTATCCTGCAGTGAAATGATTGGGCAGCGTCTCCTTTTATTATCCAAACTAACTTCAGCTGATCTGACAGCAGTATTAAGGGCCGTGTGTCGCTGTATTGGTGCGTCTGTAAAGGACCGTACTGCATGTTTTCAGACCTTTCACTACACATTCCATGTACTCGGATAGTTCCTGGTGACCATTTGGTGTTTTAGTTGTGTAATCCATCACAGTGCACATAAAATGACACACGCAGTCTGTTTCATATCAATCTACATTTATTACTTTTGTTATTTCAGGGCTCGCCCGGCAAATGACAATTATTGTTATCTCTCAATCTGATGATTATCTTCTTGATTAATCAATACATGTCTTTGGTATAGAAAGTGTAAAGAAATGTAGAACGTTTTGTCCGCCCAAAGCTGAAAGAAATTCAGTTTATTCTCATCAAAGACAGAAACTCAGCAAACGTTCATATTTTAGAGGCTAAAACCAAATGATTGTTTGATCCAAACAAACTTAAATAGTGTAAATAACAACTAATCCGTTTATCTCTTAAAGAGTCAGTATTTTATAACTACAGTAACCGTATTTGGACTTTAAGTCAATGCAAAAGTTTCATACAGGAGAGATATCAACTGTGTGAAGAACGGCGTTCTTTCTAAAATGATCAATGTCGGTAGAAAGGGTTCAATATGTGATTCATTTTTTTAGCGTTTTTGAATTGAACCGTGGAGCTCAAGAGGAGTTTCGTATCGGAGCTCAAACAGCTGAAGCACACAAAGAGACTCTTGAGTTTGAAATGTTCACTTTGTTATTCAAACATGAAGTTGTTCTCAGCGGGTTTGTGTTCAAGGTTTCCCTCTGTTCCTCATTCTCTGTTTTCATTCTTATCGTCTTCCTCTCGCCGACGCACATATTTCTAATTCATGTCGTTTACAGCAGACGCTGAAGCGCTGCTCAGGGTTTATTACTGCGTAGAGGTTTGAGCCAGCGACGGAGTAAAGTCAGCCGGGCCCAACATGATCAGAAGTGAGAATAAAAACAGCAATTAAAACCTCCGGATGTGTGCGAAGGCAACTCGTACAACTGCTAAAGTTCTATTGTTGAGCCACTCAAATGTGAAGATTTCCTGTTTTTATATAATACTAAAGTTAATATCTTATAATAATATCATTAAAGACATAACTGGTAGATTAATCAATAAGGAAAATCTAATTGTTAGTTGAAGCCTCTCTCCCCTTTCAATGTTGAAATAAAATTATTTTGTTAATTTGGGTTTCATTTACTCAAACATAATAGACATTTTTGTTTATCAAATACTCAGAAAAAACAGGAAACTGCATAGATTTCTGTAGAACAACCTGAGTGTGTGTGTGTGTCTGTGTGTGTTTTCTTTTAGGAAAGCCAATGAAGGCCTCCTCACCCTCAGTCAGGAGGAAACCATGCCGATCTCCATACGGCAGCTGGCCTACGGTACAGTTAGTCTGCTCTTCACTTCACTGCGTCTGTTTTAACTACATTACGTCTCATGTTTGCATTCCAGCTTCAACTGCACGGTTAAATAGAATCTGATCTAACAAAGTCATCATGCCACGGAAAATAAAACTTAGTTTTTAAAGAGTAACTGCACAATTAAACATTTCTTAAGATATAATGTACTTGTTAAAACTGTACTTTGACTAAACGCATCACTGCTCGTGTCAAAAACAAATCGTCATTTCGCTGTTGAAAATGTCTCAAAGACGCCTCGACCGTGTCCGGGACCAATGAAATAACGGAGAGCTTCTCTGTTGTCCTTGTTGTCGTCTCAGTGTCGGGCCTTGGCTTCGGCTTCATGAGCGGAGCGTTCTCGGTGGTCAACATCCTGGCGGACTCTGCCGGTCCGGGGACCATCGGGATCCACGGAGACTCTCAGCACTACTTCCTCTCCTCAGGTACCGACGCAGTTAGCAGCTGAGACTTGATGTCACCATGTACTCATTCATGTTATCTAGTTGTTCCCACCCATCTCCTCTGGGTTAGCAAGAGGAAAGTCAATCAATCCTGCAGCATGTCTCACTTTCCCCTCTGTGTTCAGCCTTCATGACGATGGCCATCATCCTGCTCCACATGTTCTGGGGCATCGTCTTCTTTGACGGCTGTGAGAATCGGCGCTGGTGGGCGGTGGCTACTGTCGTCCTCAGCCACCTCCTCGTCTCCTGTCTGGTGAGTGTTGCAGGTCAAGTGACGAGGTTGCTGGTTGCTGGCAGACGGCAACCACCGGTTCTGCAGAGTGAAGCCAAAGCTTCATGTGTTAAAGCTGCATTCTCTCTAGTG